ATCTCGTTTGAGGCCTGGTGATCACTACCCCATACAAATGCCTCCTACTGCTTTCAAGAAAAGTGCTCAGAAGAGGCGTTTTGTATGTGGACATAAGACAAAATGCCCACTAAAACGCAGAGACACTTGTTTTATATGTGAGGAGTGTCAAGTACTACTCGGCACATACCCATGTTTCAAAGATTTCCACAAGCTGCAGCAGTTCTAGGAAAGTGTTCAGTGATTGTACATTTATTATTACTATTATTATCACACTGGCCGATTCCCACCAAGGCAGGGTGGCCCGAAAAAGAAAAACTTTCACCATCATTCACTCCATCACTGTCTTGCCAGAAGGGTGCTTTACACTACAGTTTTTGAACTGCAACATTAACACCCCTCCTTCAGAGTGCAGGCACTGTACTTCCCATCTCCAGGACTCAAGTCCGGCCTGCCGGTTTCCCTGAACACCTTCATAAATGTTACTTTGCTCACACTCCAACAGCACGTCAAGTATTAAAAACCATTTGTTTCCATTCACTCCTATCAAACACGCTCACGCATGCCTGCTGGAAGTCCAAGCCCCTCGCACACAAAACCTCCTTTACCCCCTCCCTCCAACCTTTCCTAGGCCGACCCCTACCCCGCCTTCCTTCCACTACAGACTGATACACTCTTGAAGTTATTCTGTTTCGCTCCATTCTCTCTACATGTCCGAACCACCTCAACAACCCTTCCTCAGCCCTCTGGACAACAGTTTTGGTAATCCCGCACCTCCTCCTAACTTCCAAACTACGAATTCTCTGCATTATATTCACACCACACATTGCTCTCAGACATGACATCTCCACTGCCTCCAGCCTTCTCCTCGCTGCAACATTCATCACCCATGCTTCACACCCATATAAGAGCGTTGGTAAAACTATACTCTCATACATTCCCCTCTTTGCCTCCAAGGACAAAGTTCTTTGTCTCCACAGACTCCTAAGTGCACCACTCACCCTTTTCCCCTCATCAATTCTATGATTCACCTCATCTTTCATAGACCCATCCGCTGACATGTCCACTCCCAAATATCTGAATACATTCACCTCCTCCATACTCTCTCCCTCCAATCTGATATCCAATCTTTCATCACCTAATCTTTTTGTTATCCTCATAACCTTACTCTTTCCTGTATTCACTTTCAATTTTCTTCTTTTGCACACCCTACCAAATTCATCCACCAATCTCTGCAACTTCTCTTCAGAATCTCCCAAGAGCACAGTGTCATCAGCAAAGAGCAACTGTGACAGCTCCCACTTTATGTGTGATTCTTTATCTTTTAACTCCACGCCTGATTGTACATATGTATATATATTATAGAACAATTGTAATAAACAATGTTTTGTATTGTTTGTTTGTGTAAACAAGTTTTATAAACAATTTAATAGTGATAATGTTTGTGCAGTTATTGTGTTGTAAACAATGAGTGTATATTTGAACAATGCACCTTACTTTGATCTCACAGGCCACATAAGTTACTTGGAAAAGAAAAATATTGGAAAATACAAGAAACCTTCGAATTGGAGTAAATAAAAGAATACGTGGTGAGCGGCATTCGCTGTTGTTGCCATACGCGGCTCATTTTCTGCCAACTTTGCGCCTCTGTATCTCGGTAAGTACTGATGACAAAAATTTTTTTTTTTAGGCATAGAATGACAGTTTCAGAAATGGGCTTGCTACAGTCAAAGGGTTAAAGCTGGTGCCAGATCAGCCAGGCTGTGGCTCGTACGTTGGACTACGTGCGTCCAGGAGAAACAGCCTGGTTGACCATGCCCTGATCCACTGGGAGGCCTGGTCGTGGACCAGGCCGTGGGGGTGTTGATCCCCGGAATACCCCCCAGATAGACTCCAGGTAGCAGGTAGGGGTCTTGACAGTGAAAGGGTTAAAGTGTAGTTGAAACAACTGATTGGGCAATTTCTTGTGCTCAGTTGAAATAGCGAAATAGCTAAGAATTTGGTCGATTGGAACAATGTAACTGGCCTAAAGTAAGACTCAAAGTGGGCAAAATCGCTGATGCATAAATGTCGCTGACAGCAAAATTCATGAAAGCATAATTTCATAAATTTTTCAACAAATTTCTTACTTTTTGTTTTATTACCTTCAGAAAAAGATTTTCTACCATTCATAAGAATTTTTTTTTTAACTTCTTGGACATTATGAACAAGTTTCAGAACAGGGGTCTGGATAGTGAAAGGGTTAAGAAACAAAGATGTGAAATAACTTAACAGATAAACTGAAAAATTGAAATGTTCTTACTGTACTTTAACTAAGTTAAGGCAGGCACTGTGTGCCTAAATACTGCAGAAAATGCCTTTTATTGTTTTGCATTGGTTTCACCATATTAGCACTACTGCTTCAATATACTGTATTTAAATTTACTGAAAATACTCATTATATCTAGTTTCTCCTTCTCCTGTATACATGATTAACCTTAACCCTTTGAATGTTTTGGTCGTATATACAGTGGACCCCAGCCTTATGATATTAATCCATTCCTGAGAGCTCATCGTATGCCGAAATTATCATAAGGCGAATTAATTTTCCCCATAAGAAATAATGGAAATCAAATTAATCTGTGCAAGACACCATAAAGTAGGAAAAATCAAAATTTTTACCATATGAAATATTAATTTTAATACACACAAACTGAAGAAATGCACAGTTAATACTCAACTAAAAATAGAATACATGACACTTACCTTTATTGAAGATCTGGTGATGACTGAAGGGATGGGAGGAGGGAAGTGTGTGGAAGTTGTTATTGTTTAGAAGGGGAATCCCCTTCTGGTAGAACTTGAGGTATCAAGTCCTTTTCCGGGGTTACTTCCCTTCTTCTTTTAATGCCACTAGGACCAGCTTGAGAGTCACTGGACCTCTGTCGCACAACATATCTGTCTATAGAGCTCTGTACCCCTCGTTCCTTTATGATTTGTCTAAAGTGGTTCACAACATTGTCATTGTAATAGTTACCAGCACGGTTTGCAATAGCTGTGTGAGGGTGATTTTCATCCATAAAGGTTTGCAGTTCAATCCACTTTGCACACATTTCCTTAATCTCTTTTTCAATTCCATACTAATTCTCACCCTTGTTACCACAGGGATGGCACTGGAAGCTTTCTTGGGGTCCATGGTGACTTATTTTGCGGTTACAAGCACTAAAAACACTGTGATAATGTGAAATGTTCCCAATGTATGCGTAGATACGACCGCACTGGCTGGCTTGTAAACACTGGTGCTGAGGCCACACATGGGAGGCGTCCTGGATGAATCACGTAAGGCGAGTTTTTTAGTGTGAGGCGAGGCAAAAATTTTGCGTTAAAATGTATCGTATGGTGGATTTAATGTAATGCGATGCCATCGTAAGGGGGGGGTCCACTGTATACGTCTTACGAGCCGCCGTGTTTGACGTATATATACTACTCATAAATTCTAGCGGCTTCAAATCAAGCAGGAGAAAACTGGTAGGCCCACATGTGAGAGAATGGGTCTGTGTGGTCAGTGTGCACCATATAAAAAAAATCCTGCAGCACGCAGTGTATAATGAGAAAAAAAAAAAACACCAACCGTTTTTTTTAATTAAAATGCCGACTTTGTGGTCTATTTTCTAATAGTATTTATGGTTTTATTCTTGTTTTCTTGGTCTCATTTAATAGAATGGAAAACATATTATAGAAATAGAGGTGATTTTGATTGGTTTTACTATGAAAAGAACCTTGAAATGGAGCTCAAAGTAGGGGAAATGTTTGATTTTTGCCGATGTTCAAAAGTAAACAAATGATGTCGTTTTCCAATAAATGTCCAAGTAGCCATTCTAATATGCAGTCATGAATGGGTTGACATTATTTATACAATTATTGCAGTAGTCTGCATAACAGTAAATCTTCTATTTTTTGTTTGAATAAAAATTCAAAATAGAAAGCAAGAGTAATATCAGAGGGGCCTGGAGACATGACTGATGAGCAAAGAAAATGTTATTTTAGAGGCAGGAATGTCTGCACTGTTCATTCTGAACCCTATTTTGAAATTGGCACATTTTTTAATTTTCGTGAAATTGGCCAAATTGCAAATTTCTGACCAGGTTATTGGGTAGTTGAAATTGATAAATGGGTAGTTTCTTGTACACAATCGATAGAAAAAATAGATTTCTAAAGAAATTCCTATGAGTTTGGTCAACTGGAACAATAGAATTAGCCGAAAATAGGACTCAGAGTGGGTGAAGTCGCTGATTCGTGAATATCGCCGAGGTTGCTAACTTCACTAGAGCGTAATTCTGTCAGTTTTCCATCAAATTTCGTTCTTTTGGTGTCATTACAATTGGGAAAAGATTCTCTATCATTTCGTAAGAAAAAATAATTTTTTTTTTCGGAAATTTTGCGACACGAGGACATACCTCAGGATTTGGGGTTGCGACAGTCAAGGGGTTAAAAAAATTTTTTTTTTGGTCACCCTGCCATGGTGGGATGCAGCCAGTTCATTGAATAAAAAAACTAATAAATTTCATTGAAATTTAACTCAATTTTTTAGTAATCATGTACGTATCATGCAATAAAAAAAATGAACAATAGTATTTTTTCCACATTATCCTTTTTAAACACGATTCAAATTTCATATTAAAATGAAGAGAGAAACAAAATAATATTGTGAAGAAAGTTATTTTAACATATTTTGTCGCCAGTCAGTCCATAACAGCACTGAGTTTATATGCATGATCCACTTATGTATCAAGCATCTTCAAACTTAATAAATCAATTCTAATTTCCCTTTTCTAAACAATATAAGTTGAAGATAAGTACTTATATACTCAAATTACATGGAATCCATAAGAACATATTTTAATAATCAATAAAGAATTTTGATAATTACTGATGATAATGAAAGGCCTAAAACTGTACATCCATATAGTGTTACAAACACATGGTAATTTTATTCAGAATGTATACTGAACATTTAAATGTCAAAAATGACAATTACTTACATCAGAAACTTCAATACAGTAAGCAGCTTCAAGGCAACCTAAAGCTCGGTCAATGGTTGAGGACAAGAGTGAATTTATAGCCTTTTCTGGCTTTTCGTCCTCATCCAAGTCCAGTCCATAGTATGATGGATTCTGAAACAGTGTAATTAAGTCAATAAAACATGCTTATTATAAAGAATAGTCATCTTCACATACAGCAGAGCCCCACTTATACGGCAGGTTAGGTTCCAGGCTACTGTCTTAAAGCGGAAATTGCTGTTAAGTGGAATGCCCTTTTTATCCACTTATAAATGCATATTAATGCTAGATAACAAATTTACACTAACATATACGTATTAAGTTAGCAACAGAATTAGGTATTAAAACACAATAAAAAAGTAAAGTAAACATATAGTACACTCATTACTTACCTTAAAATATTTGTAGTCTGAATGTATGGCGAGAGTTGAGTAGTATTTATTGGTAGGAAGTCAGGTGTGGGGAGGTATGGTAGCTAGCCAGGCCACCCCACCACATCTACTCATAATAAACTATGAAATTTAACCCTTTCAGGGTCCGTCCCGTAGATCTAGGGCTTTACGTTCAGGGTCCAAAATTCTAGCGGCGTCGAATTTAGCACGAAAACGCTGGTAGGCCTACATGTGAGAGAACGGGTCTGCGTGGTATGTGCCGTAAACAAAAATTTTAGGCGCCCGCATAGCATTGTGGGAACGCCGGCTCAGTTATCTTTGTTCACTATGCCTCATTGCAACACAGCTCTCACTCCCCGGAAAATTGGGACTCTCCTCTTCCTATCTGATAGTTCTGACTCTGATGGAAGTGGAAATGAAGATGAATTCTTTGGCTTTGATCAGTTAGTGACCGAAAGGAATGACCAGGATATCGATAATAGTGCAGAAAACCCTGACGATCCTCAACCTTCTACCTCTGGTGTAGGCACTCCTCAGTCACAGTCAGTTGTACCTCCTCGCAAGAGAAAACTATTATTTTCGCGTGGCCAGGCCTCTGACTTCAGTAATGATGATGATAGTGACGTGGATTGTGATTTTACTGCTCTTGACAATCCTTCGAGTAGTGATAGGGAGGAAACATATTCACCAGTGAAGCGTTGGTATATATGCCGCCGCATGCGCTCGGGTAGTGTTCCATATGCAGTGCCCAGGGGACGGAGTACATTCCGTGGCCCTACACCAGGAATGGACAGTGAAAGTGAGGATGATGTGGCTACATTTGGCATGGATAGACCAGAAGCATCAGTAGGTGGTGGTAGTGATGGTAGTGCCACGGCCATGCATGACTCACCAGCCCAGGCTGGGACCCATGCTGCTGACTCCTCAGTTCAAGGACAAAGTGGAGCGTCAGCCACCAGCCCACCACAACCACAACTACCAGCACAACCAGCCTACGATGTCCAGTATCCACCAGCAAACCGTATCTGGGATTGGCTGCAAAATCCCAATTTTGTTCCCAAGCCCCACCAGTTTGATGACTCTCAAAGTGGAATTCTACCTACTTGTCCCCTTGGAACCACTGCCAATGAACTGGAATTTTTTGAACTATTCTTTGACCAGCCCTTGATGGAAACTATTGTCAGGGAAAGTAACAAGTATTTTGAGTACACCATAGCAAATACGATGATATCACCACAGTGAAGACTACAGCGGTGGAAAGAGACGACTGTTGCAGAAATGTACAGTGGACCCTCGCCTAACGAATGCATCGCATAACGTTAAATCTGCCTAGCGATACATTTTAACGCAAAAATTTTGCCTCGGCTAGCGCTAAAAAACTTGCTCAATGCGATTCGTTTGAGACGCATCCACGTGCGGCCTGAACCCACCTCACTTGTTCCGTGGGTGCCAGTGTTTACAAGCCAGCCACCGCGATCGCATCCAAGCACACAATTGGAACATATCATATTATCACAGCGCTTTTAGTGATTGTACCTGCAAAATAAGTCACCATGGGCCCCAAGAAAGCTTCTAGTGCCAACCCTACTGGAAAAAGGGTGAGAATTACTATGGATATGAAGAAAGAGATCACTGCTAAGCATGAAAGTGGAGTGCGTGTCTCCGAGCTGGCCAGGTTGTACACAAAACCCCAATCAACCATTGCTACTATTGTGGCCAAGAAAACGGCAATCAAGGAAGCTGTTCTTGCCAAAGGTGCAACTTTGTTTTTGAAACAGAGATCGCAAGTGATAGATGATGTTGAGAGACTGTTATTGGTATGGATAAATGAAAAACAGTTAGCAGGAGATAGCATCTCTCAAGGGATCATATGTGAAAAGGCTAGGAAGTTACATGACGATTTAATTAGAAAAATGCATGCAACTAGTGGTGATGTGAGTGAATTTAAGGCAAACAAAGGTTGGTTTGAGAGATTTAAGAATCGTAGTGGCATACATAGTGTGATAAGGCATGGTGAGGCTGCCAGTTCGGACCAAGAAGCAGCTGAAAAATGTGTGAAGGAATTCAAGGAGTACATAGACAGTGAAGAACTGAAACCTGAACAAGCATTTAATTGTGACGAAAAAGGCCTGTTTTGGAAGAAAATGCCAAGCAGGACCTACATTACTCAGGAAGAAAAGGCACTCCCAGGACATAAGCCTATGAAAGACAGGCTTACTCTGTTGAAGTGTGCTAATGCTAGTGGTGATTGCGAAGTGAAGCCTTTATTGGTTTATCACTCTGAAACTCCCAGAGTGTTCAGGAAAAACAATGTCCTCAAGGCTAATTTGTGTGTGCTGTGGAGGGCAAACAGTAAGGTATGAGTCACTAGAGACCTTTTCTATGACTGGTTACACCATGCATTTGCCCCCAATGTGAAAAATTACCTCCTGGAAAATAAATTGGACCTTAAGTGCCTCCTGGTATTAGACAATACTCCTGGTCATCCTTTAGATGTGGCAGAGCGACTTTCTGTGGACATGAGCTTCAGTAAGGTCAAGTTTTTGCCTCCTAATACCACTCCTCTCCTGCAGCCCATGGACCAGCAGGTCATTGCAAACTTCAAAAAACTTACAAAAAAGTTATGTTTGAGAGGTGCTTTGTAGTGACCTCAGAAACTCAATTGACTCTAAGAAAGTTTTGGAGAGATCACTTTAACCCTTTGACTGTCGCGGCCGTATATATACGTCTTACGAGGTACAGTGTTTGATGTATACATACTCATAAATTCTAGCAGCTTCAAATCAAGCAGGAGAAAGCTGGTAGGCCCACATGTGAGAGAATGGGTCTGTGTGGTCAGTGTGCACCCTATAAAAAAAATCCTGGAGCACGCAGCGCATAATGAGAAAAAAAAACCGACCGTTTTTTTTAATTAAAATGCCGACTTTGTGGTCTATTTTCGTATAGTATTTATGGTTGTATATCTCGTTTTCTTGGTCTCATTTGATAGAATGGAAAACATATTATAGAAATAGAGGTGATTTTTGATTGATTTTACTACAAAAAGAACCTAGAAATGGAGCTCAAAGTAGGGGAAATGTTTGATTTTTGCCAATGTTCAAAAGTAAACAAATGATGCCATTGTCCAATAAAGTCCAACTAGCCATTCTAATATGCAGTCATGAATGGGTTGATGTTATTTATACAATTATTTCAGTATTGCAGTAGTCTGCATAATAGTAAGTCTTCTATTTTTTGTTTGAATAAAAATTCAAAATAGAAAGCAAGAGTAATATCAGAGGGGCCTGGAGACATGACTGATGAACAAAGAAAATGTTGTTTTAGAGCCAGGAATGTCTGCATTGTTCATTCTGGACCTTATTTTGAAATTGTCATATTTTTTAGTTTATGTGAAATTGGCCAAATTGCAAATTTCTGACCACATTATTAGGTAGTTGAAATTGGTAAATGGGCAGTTTCTTATACTCAGTCGATAGAAAAAATGGAGTTCTAAAGAAATAGCTATCAGTTTGGGCGACTGGAACAATGGAATTAGCCGAAAATAGGGCTCAAAAAGGGCAAAATCGCCGATTTGTAAACAGCGCCGAGGTCGCTAACTTCGCGAGAGCATAATTCCGTCAGTTTTCCATCAAATTTCGTTGTTTTGGTGTCATTACAATCGGGAAAAGATTCTCTATCATTTCATAAGAAAAAATAATTTTTTTTTTTAAATTTTGCGACACCAGGAGACACCTCAGGATTGGGGGTTGCGACAGTCAAAGGGTTAATATCCTCAATTGTGTAAACCTTATAGGTAAGGCTTGGGAGGAAGTGACTAAGAGGACCTTGAACTCTGCTTGGAAGAAACTGTGGCCAGAATGTGTAGACAAAAGGGATTTTGAAAGGTTTGAGGCTAACCCTTGGAATTCTATGCCAGCTGAGGAATCCACTGTGGCATTGGGGAAGTCCTTGGGGTTGGAGGTTAGTGGGGAGGATGTGGAAGAGTTGGTGGAGGAGGACAATGATGAACTAACCACTGATGAGCTGCAAGATCATCTTCAACAACAAGAGGCCACACCTGAGGAAACTGCTCCGGAGGAGGGGCTAGAGAAATTGAGGAAGTTGCGTACTTCAAAGATTAAGGAAATGTGTGCAATGTGGCTTAAAGTGCAAACCTTTTTGATGAAAATCACCCTCACACAGCTATTGCAAGCCATGCTGGTGACTATTACACTGACAATGTTGTGAAACACTTTAGGAATGTCATAAAGGAACGGGAGGTACAGGCCTCTATGGACAGATATGTTGTGCGACAGAGGTCCAGTGACTCTCAAGCTGGTCCTAGTGGCATTAAAAGAAGAAGGGAAGTAACCCCAGAAAAGAACTTGCCACCTCAAGTCCTAATGGAAGGGTATTCCCCTTCTAAACATTAACACTATCCACACACTCCCCTTCTCCCATCCCATCAATCATCACCAAATCTTCAATAAAGGTAAGTGTCATGTAATTGTGCATATCTTCTTCAGTTTGTGTGTATTAAAATTAATATTTCATGTGGTAATTTTTTTTTCCATACTTTGGGGTGTCAGGAACGGATTAATTTGATTTCCATTATTTCTTATGGGGAAAATTAATTCGGCTAACGATAATTTCACCTAACGTTGAGCTCTCGGGAACGGATTAATATTGTTAGGCGAGGGTCCACTGTATTTATGTCAATTTTTATTCTGTGGGTGTATGTAT